CATCGGTGATGCCGTCCATTTTTCCTTATCTCTTATTAAACGAAAATTTCTAACCATTTTTTGATTGTAATATGTTTCAATGGTTAGAATATTGCGAAAATATTCTGCTCTATTTAAATGGAGTATTTGATGTTCTTTCATTATGTAATCATTGTTGAATATATAAGATGGATAACCTACAAAATATCTAAAGACGTGAACTAATTTCAATTAGGATAAAGAATAGTATGGGATATTTAACTATTCAACTATCGTTTTGGCAGGAAAGAGCGAAGAGCTATAGTTCTGCCGTTTTCTGTTTCAGAGTTTGACCCATCTTTCTACAGAAAACCAAAGTTTATGACCACCACCGCTAAAGATAGTGATCAAATTACTTGAAACGCTCAAAACATGATCAAATGAGTAGATTGAACTCAGAGCATCGATAGAACTCTACATTCATCATTTTTCTTGAGACCATTTTAAAAACTCAATGGTAAGAAAATACACTCTCAGTTATATCAATTCACTCATGCCAACAAATTAGGTACTACAGAGTATTTTGTGAACGTTTCAACTGATGTGATTGAAATATGAGCAAAGTATATGAGCTTTGGATTTTTGCCAGACTGATCAAGAACCTGTTTTTATTCATTTCCGAGACCACCTGAAGTCACCTAATTTCAATTTTAAGACAATCAGAAAAACTGCTCTGACGTCTGATCTATGACAGACGCTGTGGTCATATCTGTGTAGATATATACGTAGATTATACTTATCAATCTTTTTATGAATATTTTTTGCTTTTTCAATGGCATTTTGTTTAGTAACATTATCAAAAAAGCTATTTTCTAATTTATGAATGATAACCAAACGTATTTTATCGACAACATCATTAACTTTTTTCACCACATTTTCATTTGTAAATTTTTTTATATAATGATACGATGTTAACATTGGTAAAGTGTTTTCCAATTTTTTGATACAAATTTTTTCTCGTTTCAATATTTGTTTTGTTCCATCAAGTACACTGAAATAGGTGATTAAATGTTTTTGGAAACGATTGTTCAATAATTGAATATAACTGAGTATAAAATACCATGTTTGAACATTGATGATAACATGAGAGGGTGTTTCAAATAAAAATTTGTCTAGTTCAAATATGTATAAACAATTGTCGATTTCAACATCACTGTCTACCAATGTTTCATTTGGAAATAGTCGAGTCAATAATAACGATATGTTAATAAATTTTAGATAAGATATAAGAGTAGATAATACACAGTTTATCGATTGATTATCAACACGAACTATTGATGAAGTACTATCTTAAAGAAAGAATAATAGAAATCAGAATTCCATGACATGTTCAAATTTTGTTAACTTTTTTGCATTCTTACTACTAATGTTATTTGAGTCATCTTTGAGAATGGTATAATTACTATCGTTTAGTATAATTTCATGTGTACTAGTCACATTATGAACTGACATTGGTCGATTTGTATAATTTAATTGTATGTTTGTATCATTTACAATAATTGGATATCGATATGATGTTTGATGAATAAGTTTAGCTATAATTTTCTCGAATTTCATTATTTCATCAGTGACACTTATGCGTTTTTGGGCGTTATTCAAACCAAACTCTTTCAGAATATCTATGATTAAATTATGATATGCATGATAAAATCTTTTTGTTTGATTATCATTTGATGACAAATGATATTGAACAGGCAAAAATGAATCACCATGTTGAACAGTTATAATTCGTTTCTGACAATCGTGACTTGATGTGCCAATTTCTACATTGATCAATGGTGAATAATCGAGAAAAAATGGTAATGTAGCCATATGAAGGTAAGAATAATTTGTGAGATTTTCATTTCGATCAATTGGCCATTTATGTAGTTTTCTATCTTGCATAACAATCAATAATGGTGTGATATCTAATTCTTCAATATATCGTTCATTCATACAGGATCGAAATAATAGATGAGGAGCTTCAAGAATTTTTTTAATAATATCATTTGATGGATGTTTAAATTGACGAAAATGTTTGTCATCCTTATTTGTACTATCGAATGTTCCTTCCGTTTCATAGTCATTATCATTAATGTTTTGTTCATAGTTTTCCATGTCATTTTTATCTTGAGATCGATCATTAATAAAACTGCTAGTTTCATGTCGATGTTGTTTGAAGTAATCGATATTTCTAAATTTTTCGGTCTTTTCATATTGTTCTTGTTGTGGCTGCTGATAATGGTGTCGATCATAATTTTCAAATAAATCAATGAGCTGAGAACGTAACTTTTTTTGTGCTGTGTCGAAAAACTTTTGTGAATCACTTGTTTGATAATTTCCACAACTGTATTCATAAAAATCTCGACAAGGATCCGCATCTTTATTTATCATTGATAAAATGGTTGATGATAAATTATAGCATGTATCCGATGCACACGTAACGAGTTCACTGGATTTTTTCACTTTAGGTGTTGTTGTTGTTGCTGTTATATTTATATCAAGGTGGTTAACGGTTTCTTTTATATCATTATAAAACAGTAAAGAACGTATGCTAGTTAAATTTGATAATTGTTGACTCATATTGCCGAAAATCTTTCTAAATGTGTCATTTGCATCGTCAATCAAAATACTAGTGTCTCTGGATACATTGAATCGATGATCTAAACAAAAATCCTGTTATAGCAGTCCCTTTACAGCTAAAATGTGAAGCTACGCGACATAGTATAATACGCTAAATTAGATAAAACCATAGATTTTTTAATATAAATTTCAACACTCGATCCTTAGGATTATTAGGAGTTTGCACTTCCAAAACTGTAGCAAAAAAAATCCAACAACAGAAGATAGAGTCAGCATCTATGCCTAAGTTTCTCTAATATTTTCATCTAACCAATTCTATTTTTCAACATAACAGAAGAAATTTTTTTCATGTGATTGCACACGAACACATAGTAAGAAAAAGATCGAAAGAATGGAAGTTGCATTTACAAGAATGATGGAACAGAATCTTGAAATTTGCATTAGTGAGGTAAACATATTTAGCGTAAGAATTCCAATTTCACGTTCTATGCATCATCTTTTGGTATATCTTTTGGGTAGACCAAGCGCCCGTTTTCACCAGGGATGAGTCAGAAGTAAATAAAATTACGATACGGTAACGTGGTCTTAGATCGATAATATTTATTGCACTAGTTTGACTTGTCCATACACCATGCCAGGATATTCGAGGAAGCGTTCTTGGTCTCGGAGTCCTAACGTAGACAAACAAAGAGTATTCCTTAAGGATATTCTCTCTTTCTTCAATTTTGAGTTGAACATAGCCTAATGCAGACGAGAGTCTAGACTTCAAAATAAGACGTCTCCTAGCGTTACACGACCTTTTTTTTTGCAAAAGTTATGAATCTTTTACGTTTTTAGTCAAGAGCCTGTAAAACGTTAATTTTTGTAGTTGTATTAACTATGATTTGTTTCCAGGGCCTTCAAAATGTTTTCTTATAGGTAGTCTGATAGAGTAAAGTGTTCTCTTTACAATGGTACTATTTCCGGAGTTTTGCAATGATTTTTTGCGATGATATGAACATAGCAGCAAATGCCCTCAAAAAAGTAACTGACTTAATGTTCTGTACATTGGACAACATTTATGATTCCAATCCTGTCAAGCTACTACACCTCGAAAAAATGATCCAAGCAAGTCTACATTTTTACTAAAGATACTGCAGACCCTACCTTAGGTTCTAAATTCTTTTTATCTGTAATCGGGCGATGCATGACTAGTTGTTATCTAGATTACTAGTTGGAAAAGAGACTTTTAACTAGATGTGTCTGTATGTACAACTGGCAATAGTTAAATCGATTGATTATCGGGTGATAAATCGATAGTTGCATTGAGGAGAAATCTAGCAATTGCCCGATTACTAAATCTTTTCCACTGTCGTTACTAAATAATTGCAATCGAGCAAAAATCTAGTAATCTAGATGAATCGGGTGATAATAGATTCTTTTTATGCTTAGGTTAATGATAAACTCTGTTATATATCAGATGTCACATTCGAGTGTCCGACATACTAGTATAAATGAGTGTTATTATTACTGTCGTATTATCAATTACATTTGAGAGTTTTGAGTCGTTTAGAATTTGTGTGTAAATAAACTAGAATTTTCCCAAGCATAAAAAAAAATCTATTGTCACCCGATTCATCTAGATTACTGGATTTTTGCTCGATTGCAATTATTTAGTAACGACAGTGGAAAAGATTTAGTAATCGGGCAATTGCTAGATTTCTCCTCAATGCAACTATCGATTTATCACCCGATAATCAATCGATTTAACTATTGCCAGTTGTACATACAGACACATCTAGTTAAAAATCTCTTTTCCAACTAGTAATCTAGATAACAACTAGTCGTGTATCGCCTGATTACAGATAAAATGTATCTAGATTTTTCCCATAGGTGATTTTTGCTTGGGTTTATAAGCACTACCAGTAGTTTTCGATTTATTACCCGTTACTTGTGCTGTAAGTTTTTCACCTATCAAATGTTGCAATGATTCATTTGTTGTTGAATTTGTCACATTTTTTGTGTTGTAAATTAACGATTCATTGTAATCAGTGAAATATTTTGAGAGTTCAGAATCAGCTGTTCTATTTGAAATTCTTATATTTTCGCTAATGTTGGCGAACAGTAAATAGTCAGATGAAGGTTTAATGCGATGATTTTGATCATCGAAAATAATATGAGAGACCTCATTTGAACAATATTGCGGGAGTACACAACCAAGACAAACAACAAAGTTAACAAACATAGTAATATAAAAAGAAAAACAGTCAGAGAAAAATTCGTGGAAAAAAGTGTTGCGAGATAATGAATGTGGAAGAAAAAAATTAGTTTGCCGAGAAAATACAGAAAAAATGTCAAACACGCCAATAACTACGCATTGTTAGGCACAATAATTTGATTATAGTAAAGCACCTAATAATCCTTTTTCTGAGTTGGGAAAAACAAATCACCACGAATCTTTCATCTTTCACAGTCTGTTTCATAAATCTAAATTTGAATGAAAATGGTGAATTATGTAAAATGCATTAATAAACTACGGAAAGTTTATGAGAGACATTATTCTCTACCATTTTTTATTAAAAATATATATATTTCGTCCGTATTAGAAAAAATTAACAATATACAATAGCATACATATGATACAAAACTGTAAAAAGTAAAAATAAAACAGCTTCAAAAATAGTATAAACAGGCTCACAATGCCATTTTATGATTAAGGAATTTTTTGTTTTCCATTGTTATTGTTATTGTTATTGTCTGCATATAGAAAGAAGAAGAAGTGCGTTCCATCTTCTTCTTTTTTTATATAGAAAAATTAAACTTTCAAAATTTTTCCTGAAAATCGTTGTGGTGCCAAAACACCACGTCGACTGTTCATATCAGCCAATTCAATATTTTCAATTGGTTTTTTAGATGAATTTCGTTTTGAAGAATTTCGTTTCGAAGAATTTCGTTGTGATGTTGGCTCTGATTCAAATACATCACTCTCATAAACACCATTGATTGTTCCCAAGTCAGAATCTGAATCTATATCGTTTTCATCTTCATCACTAACATCTAGATTTTGATTTAAAAACTTTGTTAAATATCTTTCAACATTTTTTGCTTTAAATTGTTTAGCCCAATGTAGAGGTGTATGCCCGTTAATATCTTTTACTGTCGGATCGGCACCAACTTGTATCAAATGATGGACAAGTTCATAATCGTCCGCTGGCCCACATGCAACATGAAATGGTGTCCAACCATTTTTGTCAATATTTGCCAGTGAAACACCTTTTTCAATTAAAAATTTTGACAATAGAGTATCGCCATTATCACATGCAATATGCAATAAAGATCGTCCGTCTCCATCAATAATATGAACATCACCGCCGTTAGATAAAAGCAATTCAAGAATATCTAAGATAAAAGAGAAAAGAAATCGTTTAAAATAGTTTTCTGAAAAATTTCAAGACAAACCTCGTCGTTTTGAACTAACAGCTGCATGCAACAAACTCCAACCAGTTTTATCTTTTCTATTTATACTTGCATGTTTTTCAATTAATAATTTAATTTTTTCTAAACAGGCCCCACTAACACCGAGTGCAAACATCATCGGTGTTGCACCCGTTTTATCCTCAATATCCGGTTGATCACAATAGTTCAGGAGGTTACTAAGGATTTCTGGATTTTCTAAAAAAAAGAAATGGACAGATCAGCAAAAATCCACATTTTCATATAGCCTTTATTTGTCCAAATTAATCAAAAAAGGAACGTCAGATCTCTAACAAACATCACCTGTGAAGAAAATCTAGATATATTTCGTCTGTAATCGGGCGATACACGATTAGTTGTCAGCTAGATTACTAGTTAGAAAAAGGGCTTTTAACCAGATGCGCCTGCATGCGTAACTAGCAACAGTTAAATCGATCGATTATCGGGCGATAAATCGATAGTTGCAACTAGGAAAAATCTGGCAATCGCCTGGTTACTAGATTTTCACTGTCGTTACCCAATAGTTGCAATTGAGTAAAAATCTAGTAATCTAGATGAATCGGGCGATACTAGATTTTTTTTTGACGATTGGGATATACGAGGTGAAATTAATCATTCATCTGTTTATTTTACCTGACATCACATGCAAGCATGTTTTGTGATAAAATATGCCTGCAGTATAACTTGTACTTGCAACACATATTATACGTCTGAACTATTTAAAAAATCTCTCATCTCGATAGCAGAAACCAAAAACATGTGCTTATGACAAAATTTAGCATGGTTTAACACAATTTTATTTTCCGAATGGTTAAAATCAGCATTACAGTTGAAATCGTGTAAAATAGATTAGATTTATTACAGAGTTCGCTACCACTCGGTTAAATGTTTAAACTGATGTAGTTTGAAGATGCTACAAACCTGCCCAAGCGGCATTGGGATCATACACAAAGTGAGTTCAGGTAAAGAGAGACGACTTCCCTAGTCGAGACTCCCGGCAAAACTCCAACGGGAGTCCCAAGTTTATGAAAAACTCCAGCAGGAATCGTAAGGAGTCCTGATGACTCTCGCAGGAACTTTCTAGAGTGAAAAGTCCAACATGGAG